CGGGGCCGCGCTCTGCTCCCCCCGGGGCCGCTGTCCGGTGTTTCCCGCCGCTCACTTCAGACCTGAGCAGTTGCAGCAGTCAAAAAGCTAAGTATTCGGAAATCAAAGTACGAACTCCAGTGTGTTTTTGGAACAACCGAAGTTCACTTTTACATCAAACACTTTACTCTGAAAACTTTGCAAGAAAAACAAGTGAACCTCTGAAAACTTTACTTACCACCTTCATGCAGCAGCGCCCAAAAATCTCCCGGGTTTCACCATCTGGACAAAGTTTAATAATAAAAGTCACCTACAAAATGCTAATTCTAGTGTGGTCCCGTGTAGGTATGAAGATAACATCCTTACAGCTACGGTTTATAGGTTTGTTTCCTAACAAAGAATATTCCTTGTAACAGCAACATGGCTGGAGAAGTCACGTTTTGTCAGTGTTACCCAGATACCATAAACCAGCCCATGACCTGTGACCTATCCCCTGGCAGGAAGGACATTTTAGGAGTACACTCGTCATAATTCTGGCCTGCCCCAAAGCAATAGCAACAATTTATGGAGGACATTGGTAGATTAAATATAACTGATCTTCCAGAAAGGATGGACTTGTTATAAAATGGATTTCTTTCTTATAAAATGGATTTCTTTCTTATAAAATGGATTTCTTTTTTATTTCAGTAAGCAATTTGGTGTTAGGATATTAAACAGGTGGTCTGGACTTAGAAATCAAGCAGGAATTATTATTTGTCATTTTGATCTCTTTATGATCTACATGAAGAGGTTACTGCTTTGCTAACAGTACAAAATGTTTTAAGTTAGAATTCAATATAAGTGTTCCTAAAAATCACTTTGTTAGAGCTAGGATGCACCAACAGAAATTAAAATAAGCCAAATAAGTCCAAGAACAGCAGAATTTATGAAATAGCTTTGTGGTTTTTTTATCTTGTGGCTTCTTTCTGTGGATGCTTTATAATGTCTAAAACTCTAAGGGAGCTCATGGCAGAGGCCCCTGTCAGCGGAACTGCAGGAGGGTCTGTCCCAAAACAGTCATTAACTAGAGAGCAGTCTGCCTGATATGCACAGCCAGTATCTCCAGATTCGAATTTTTCATTCTACCTACTTGGCACTTCTGGGAGGCAGTGACATGGCTGGAGATGCCTGTTTTTGCCCTGAATCTTTGCATTCATGTTTTCATCATTGCTGCCACCAGGGAGTCATCAGTTCTCCAGGTTTCTCAGGATGACCTTGTCTTCCAGATCTGAACTGTTCATGCTCGAACTTCACAGATTTAATGAGGTACAAGTGAGTAAATGACCTTTTTGAAGAAAATAAACATTGGAATAATGCTCTGTTCTGTAAGGGAGCTTTTACCTTATAGGCAATTCAATTCCAATTCCATTAGAGGTAGCTTTGGGGTCAGTGTTCTAGTCATGTTTTTTTCCCCCAGATAGTGAAATGCTTGAGCAGGTAAGGATAAAAAGATATTATCTTGTGTTTGTATTTGCAGAAAATTAATTTTAACTTTGTACTAATGTCACATTTTCACTCAAGATAAAAAATTAAACCAGTGACAACTTTGGCTTCATCCTGGCTCAAACAAGGACAACTAGACAAGCCACTGTTGATCACTTCTGAAGCAGAAGGGAACGGAGAGATTCAGCTCTAAGATACTGAACTATATTTTGTTTATTTTTCTTTCCTTCTGCACATTGAGCAAAGATTCGAGCCTGGGCTTTGGTTTGTTTTTCATAGCAACTTTAAAATAAGCCACATAGATTTCAGTCAACCTCTGCACTTAATTCTTCATTCATTAAAAAAAAAAAAAGTATCTATCAGAATGAAACTAGTTAATAAACAACTGCTCCAAGAGTGCAGAGCAGAACTAAACAGTTGCATCATCACCATGGAGAGGAGCCCAGGTTTACGAGGTGGTAAATTTATT